CCAGATTCAAGCGTCTTAAAAAAACTCCACTGGAATCGCTCTTAGGACAATTTCTAAATGTCGTTGTAGAGGAGCTTATGAAGAGCCGGAGGCTACGTAAGCGATATGGAGGACGCAAATACATTTAATTTTCTTTTCTAATGTGAAAAGACATTGTATGTCAGCACCAGAAGCGTCAGCAGGATTACCCGCAGATGAAGTAATTTCAGCAGTAAAGTCGGTGTTGTAAACTGCACTTCGGTAAAATGATTGATCAAAGTAACAAAGAATATAATACCTTTCCAAAAGTTTGCATTCACTGTAGCCACAGGTGGATCCAGGGCGGTCTCCACACGGGGGAGGGGGAGGCAATTTTCCTTCCCTTCCCTCTTCGTCACTCCTTCTCCCCCCTCCGCCCCTCCCCAAGCAGCCCGCTACCCACCACTCGATCGTCCCGCTATCTCTTCCCCACCCCCTTCCCGCTCTCTCGTCAGTCGACCCTAAGCTACGGCGGGGGAGGGGAAGGCGAAAGATCCCTTGTCCCCTTCCCCTGGATCTGCCAATAATTGTAGTAACGACACTTATCAGTTATTATCAATGCATGGCCCACTGATAAAATTTATAGATTAGATAAAACATTGTGAAATGGGAATGCGCAACTGAACACCCAAACGTGTGAAGCAGGCTCAGTGTCTAAAGAGGTAAAACTACGAAGAAACAGAAGTTTAAAGTATCAACGCAAATAAGACAACGGCATGAATATATATTTTGAAATTGCTATTTGTGAGGCGGCAAGGAATCAAAAAACGATGAAAATGAGGAGTTCGATTTTTTCGCACCTTGCAGCACTAGATATCTCTTGCTCTTACAATTCCCAAATTTGTCGGGTACAAGGAACCCGTTTTTGTCCCTTTATTCGCTTTTCTCCAACTTCCGGGGAAATTTAAACAGGAAATTCTGAAGCCTTTACTTGGCAAGCAGTCATCGTGATCATTTTCACAGTTTCTACCGGTGTATCCATCCGGGCAACGACACTGATATGAGCCAAAAGTGTTGGTACAGATGCCACCATTTAGACACGAATTGCCATCAGTCGAGCATTCATCTATGTCCTGAAAGTATTTTCCTGATTAGCAAACTGGAATTGAACATTAATCCGGTAAAACAGAGTTAAACTTACAGTATCGCAGTAAAATCCGTTGAAGCCTTGTGCACATATGCATGTATAATTCTTGTAATTTGCTGTCGGCTTACAGGTTGCTCCATTTTCACAGCGACTTGTGCGGCATGGATTTAGCCTGAAAAACAAACAATCGGTCCATACGAGCAGAAGATTATATCTTTTGGATTTAGGAAATAACTGACTTGAGCATCAAAAAAAAAAAATCGAAGAAGTGCTGACCCTAAAAATTAAATTTTTTTTTAATTTTTTGAAATTCTTTTTAATAAAGTAAGGCTTCTGAAAACTGAAGAAACTTCGCCAACAGGCTTATGATATGTACGTAATGTACGTTCATTCCTAAGAAAACAATTGTAAGCTGAGTGAATGAAGTACTTTAACTTACTCGTACTGACACCT